TATTTGCCAAAACAATAACCATAGCAAAGAAAATGGTACTGGTACACTCAACCAATACTGCATTTTATGGTTTTCTCTTGTAGTCCTCAGTGATGTCAGTTGGCTTTGCTCAGTTTCATCCCAACTTGGTGATTGGAGGCACTTACTCAGGACAGATAGCACTGTGGGACAATCGAAGTCACAGGAGGACCCCAGTGCAACGGACGCCCTTGTCTGCAACTGCACACACTGTAAGACCATCAGTTAAAGATAAAATGTTTAAAAATAGAATGCAGTGTGTTAGTGGTTTAACGGTTAAAAATCTGAGCTGAAAACACTAATGTTGCCAGGTCATTGAGGTGACCCAGAAACTGAAGAGCTGCACTCAACCTCAAGATATTCCTGAGAGACTTTGCAAAACGCATCTTATGAGAATGAAAGACTCTGTTTTTTATTGTGTGGCAAAACAATCCCTTATTAGTCTTGGAAAAATATTCTTATCATGGTCTTTCCTTAAAAGAATATAGATGACAAAACTGTCACATGTTTTATGCAGCATCCTGTATACTGTGTGAATGTGGTCGGAACACAAAATGCCAACAACTTGATCACAGTATCCACAGATGGCAAGATGTGCTCCTGGAGTCTGGACATGCTCTCACAGCCTCAGGTGTCCAGATAACACATTTAGACCGATTGAATTATTGTCATTTGAGATTTGACTGATATTAAACAATACATCATATGTCTGTTGTTACTCACAGGAGAGTATGGAGCTGATCTACAATAAGTCAAAGCCGGTGGCCGTCACTTGTATGGCCTTCCCTGCAAGTGATGTGAATAACTATGTGGTAGGAAGTGAGGAGGGCACTGTTTACACAGCATCCCGCCATGGAAGGTCGGTCGTTCCTGCAGCATAACATATTAATAACAGAATTTTCATATTTGGGTCAAGTATTCTGTAAATGATATCTTTGTATATTAAAAACTCTTAATGAAAAACAACTTTACTATTAACTTGAACTTGCTTAACTCGTCCCATGCAGTAAGGCTGGTATTGGTGAAATGTTTGATGGGCATCAGGGTCCTGTGACTGGAATCAGTTGCCATAACGCTGTGGGTCAAGTCGACTTCTCCCACCTCTTTACCACTTCCTCATTTGATTGGACAGTCAAACTGTGGTCAACCAAAGTAAGAGTTGTTTTGGAATTCATGTGTTGCTCGATATGTTTTTTGATCCTGTAGCATTATATAACTATTCCATCTCTCTGACAGCATAACAAGCCCTTGTATTCCTTTGAAGACAATGCAGACTATGTTTATGATGTCATGTGGTCTCCAGTGCATCCAGCGGTCTTTGCTACAGTGGATGGCAATGGTCGTCTGGACCTCTGGAATCTCAACAACTACACAGAGGTCAGGGGCACCGCAGCTCATTACATTCTTTATTCAGTCATCTGTCTTCTGTATTATATAAGAAGAACATTCATTTCATACTTTAATTAATATTAGGATAGGAGGACCCCTACCCCTGGGTTAAACTTATCCCAGATGTCATCTGATTTTTGCAGAATATGTTATCTGATATTATTTGTAATGTTGTTGTTGTTGTTGTTTTGTTTTTTTTTTCAAAAAAGGTGTCATTAATGTGAAATATTAAATTAAATAATATATGCAAATTATGTATGTTCAAAGGTTTGAGGTCAGTAAGTGGTGTGAAAAAGTGTTGGCCCCCTTCCTGATTTCTTATTTTTTTGCATGTTTTTGCAAATCTAAATTAATTACTATGTCCACAAATCCTCCATATCCAACATGAAATTAATTCCTAGATCACAATTATACAATGAAAAAAATTATATCATTTAACCTCAAACAATAAATCTAATATGTGCACATGACAAGTCAAAATTAATAAGAACATAACCACTGAATAAATGTGTTGACATTTGACATAAATGTCATTTTCGCTCCCAAAACAAGTTTTCTGTGTGTACCAGGTGCCGTCGGCAAGTGTGACAGTGGAGGGAGGATGTGCCCTGAACCAGGTCAGATGGGCATCAGGGGGCAGAGAGGTGGCCGTGGGTGATTCAGAGGGCCATGTTTGGATCTATGATGTGGGAGAGGTAACAACACCTACATTATGAGTACATGAACACGTGTAGCACTCTCTAATATTCGGATGAATTATAAATATTTGCACTCAAATTCAAATACACAGACTGATCAAACAATGTGCAAATTTCAACAGTCACTAATTGTGCTCTACCATGAAGATGTGATGCAGAAGTTGGTTGTATCTCTATTTTAGCAGTTAGCCGTGCCACATACAGACGACTGGAGCAAATTTGCCCGTACGCTCATGGAGATTCGTGCGAACCGAGGGGATGGAGAGGAAGAAGGTGCTTTGGAGCAGCCTGCTTAAGACATACACACACATTTACATTCAGTGAGAAACACGTAAAGATACATTGAAACCGATGCTTGATATAAAGTGAGTGAATCACACATTCACGCTGCTGTGATCACAGGTCTTTTTTCTTTTGCCTACAAAAGTCTATCTATAGCATGGGTGTTAATTAGCAATAACTCCTCTTCCAATGCTAATAGTTAATTCCAGAACACACACAAGTGAGAATGGGTTGATCTAACATATATCTAGGGTTTGCAGTGACTAGGAGTGAGCCGATGTGATCATACTGTATCAAAACAGCTGTGCCGGAATTACAGCTTATTTTACATATGTGAAAGTACAAGGTCATACTGAGATACATGGAGAATGTATTGGCCGTTATGTAAAAATATATTACAGCAAAACTTATGAATGACTTTTTTTCCTTTCACCTTTTATGTCGTATGTGTGCATAATTTAATACCAACTGCAGCATAAAGCAACTGTAAAGTGTGAACTTACAATAAAGGTCATTGTGTCTCAAATCGTGTTTTAATCTTCATTTAAGCAGTAATTTGTCCAAAGTGCGGGTGATTAAAAAGTTTGACTGTCAATGTCATATTACTCCATGATGTTTTCGTGTCATTAAACCTTTTATCTTTAATCACAATGACAACAGATTCTTTGTTATCCAGGTTTTTTTTCCCTCCATCATCAGCAACTTTCATGGACGCACACGGCCGCACGTAGAAGGCGGGATCCTGTTACCATGACAATTACGTCAATATTAGTGTCGGGTAACTAAAGGTCAAACTAAAGACAAGCCAGAGACGGAAGGAAACAGGCTCGGAATGGCGGAGACTAAAGGTTTTTTTGCAGCAAAAGCCGGAGGAAATACAGTAATAAACTGTGGGTTAATCGCGTTATCGCTTGAACGGCGGTGCTTTGTCTAAATTGAACAGGATACCCATATGTTACGAGGTGCTGGTGCGGCGGGAAGGACAGTCCATGCTAGTTTTGTCTGTAAATTGGAGCAAAGCTGTAGAGCATAGCTACCGTTAGTTAGCCGTGCTGTGTTGTTCCGTTTAGAAGCAGAATGACTTTTGCTAACTCTCAGTGCCGTATTAGAGACAAACCCAACGCCTGGCTGGCTCTAGATCGCTTTTGTGAGGGTAGAATGCAGTGCAGCTATGGCTTGACTGTTTGCTTCCTCTTTACCCAACTTGGTAGCTGATAGCAACACAAGCTTACTTGGTGCAAGTTCTTCTTATTATTACAACTCTTTGCGTGCGGTAGATTGTGCTCGAGTCTGTCTGAAAATTGACCGATTTTCGTATTCCCAAGCAGAGAAACAAGGTTGACCCAATGTCAGTCTACACATACGAGTGTTTTTGTTATTATTGTTGTTTTGTTTCGCTCAAACTCGGGTCGCATAGGGCTGTTTTTTACGGTGATGCTCATACCGCAATTCCAGTTGTTGTTTTAAAATTAATAACTTGTGTTGAAGACGAAAATATTATCTAAATCGACGCAAGCATATTTGCATTAAATGTCTGTGATTAGACCGTGGCTCTGTTCAAATCCGCAAGGTCTTCATCCTCATCGCGGTCCCTTTGTCATTGACGTGAAGGAGAGAGGACCTTTAACTTTCAACTCGGCTTTTGCTGTATTTTCACTGCTCGTGTGGACTGTAGGGGGCAGCAAAATCACCTCAAACATTTCCTTGGTGTTCATATAAGAATTCACTTAAATTATACTTGTTTTGTCTGTTTATTTTACATTCATTGTGTGTCGTTTTTATAAGCTGGTTGTTCATGCCTGTAAACATCCCCGACTGGAAGCTGTGCTATCCGTAAAACAAGCTTTCAGTTGGATGTTTGCTGCCATCGTCCAGTTCTTTCGTCTTGATATGCGTGTTTAGTTAAACAGTAATGCGTCCTAAAGGTTGTATAACAACTTAATTATAGCTTAACAACGATATGTACATGTTAACTTGTTTACATGTGTGCCATCTGGATCTATTGAAATCTATATAATGTTTTCTGTGGTAAACTTGCTAATATTCCAATGTAGTCGTTGTAAACATCCTACACTCAGCTGTAATCTGCAAACGAGGCTGGGGGGAGGGTGTTTGCTGTGACTGACTGGAGCTCCTCTGTCATGTAGGAACACACTTTACTTTACATGAATGCTGAAAGGAGAAAAAAGGCCGAGGCTGATAAAGTCGAATATTTACTTTAAGCTGTTTTTATTCTGTTTTACTCCATTGTGAATATCATTTACCCAAATAAACACTTTTTAATCAAATTAATGTGTATTGTTATTAATAATTATTGATTTAACTGATGTTCTTGTTGAGGTGTCGAGTTGCTATACTAATGCATAATGGCAGTCAGAGGCCTTTACATGTACACCTCTCTCATTTTGATAAGGGTTTAAACATTAAGTTCATTTTAAGGAAAACATGTTTGAATGTCGCATTACTGATTACAAGAACACAGCAAGTTTAACCTCCAAGAACATCCAAGTAGGGCAAAATGAACTCCAGGCCGCAGGTGGCGCGCGCTTCGACACCGATGCTTTTTTGCTTGAAGACGAAGATCCATCCGCCATATTTGTTATCGCAGATTCGACAGAAACCTCTGCAGAAGTAATTTAAGTATAACGAATGCATTTAAATTGCTCCCTGGCAATACAAACAACGGTTAAATCATTTTCGAGGCTCTTTTACTTATTGCTGATTTAAAAAGAATGGATCCAGTGCAAGCAGGTAAGGAAAAACGCGATTTTCAGGATAGCTGCGTTCCGAGGAAACGGCTAGTTCCGACGATTCGATAAGGAGAAATAAATTAGGTAAAACTAGTGGCTTGCACCAACAAAAGTAACTTTTGCCAGAGGATGCTTTATACATAAATTCAGTTTTATGTCCGCTGTTTACATTTCTTTGTTGAAATAATAAATTTTCCAACTCTTTGAGCATAAACGTCATCTTATTTAATGAAAACCATTTCCAGTGCCTAAGAGAAAAACACGAAACTGGTCGCGAGTTTACAAAAATGAGATGGCATGGCAGGGAATATTGTTGGTTTCCTTTTTGGAAAAACCCGGGGTTTAACAATATAATTAAACGTAATACAACACGTCTTTGCTCTTGAAAATCAGTCTTGGTATGCAGTTTAGTAAGGGGTTTATGAAATGTATTATTGCATGCCATCTATTGCATCTTGTTGAAGAACCCTATCGCAGATAAATTAACAGTGTTGTAATGACATGAAGCTAAACTGCAACTACTAATCAATATGCGTATTAATATCAGTGTTAATAAATATAATCCTGATTTGAAAGTGTTTAAATTGAACATATTTAGACGCTCTTATTTTGAAAGGGCTGCCTGATGCTTTTGAATAATTACTCCAGTGAATTATGTGAGGGAAGGTTTTTAAAACTCACAAATTGTAAACAAAACGATTTACATGTAGAAGACAAATAATAAATAAATATAGTTAGATATTACATATCTTTAGAGCCTTATATAATTTACCTATAATAACCTGCGTAGTAGTATGTATGCTACTTTTTGAAGGATTCACGATAAATCTTAGTACTGGGCAAATTAAAAGCCAAATGTTGTTTATAGGAGAGACTTTATAACTTAACTGTAAATTGACCTGAATTACAAATAATAAACCGAATAAAGACTTAAGCTGCTGTTTTTACATTCACAGACGGTTCATCATTCTTCATGTGCAAAATATGCAACTTGTTCTCTCCCAGTAAACCATTGCTGCTGTCTCATGTTAATGAGACTCACTCCAATGAAGGAGGTGATCCTGACACTTTTATTATAGCACTTAAGCCTTTAACAACTCCGGAGCCACAGGGTTCAGGTAAGCAGCTTTGAACCCAGAAATCAACTTGTATTGGGCATTATTAAGATCCAAACACTGAAAATAAAGTAATTAGAGACAGACGATTATAATGTCAAGCTGATTTGTATAACATACTGTATATTCATTGAAAGTTTTCCAAAAACACAACACCATTCCAAGAACATACCTCAGGCAGGATTTTTACATTCCACAACTTCACACATCTAAAGCTTCTTCATGTCAAGCTGATTTAAGCTTGAAGTTCCAATTTAAGCTGATTTAAGCTTAATTTTCATAATGTGATGAAAGCTGTATTATCCTATGTTAAAAAATGTAATTTTAAAATCATTACAAGAATATCTTGTTTATCTTGCAGAAGTTGTTGCGAGAAGAAAGCGTGGAAGACCAAAAGGCTCTACTAAGAAAGTCCAACCAGAAAAGGTCCAGAAAAATACACCCAATCAGCAGAAGAATGAGTCCACAGAAATACAACCGCTGGCAGTAGCTGAAGAGCCAAGTGAGGATGGCAGTGATCTGGAGTGCAAGAAATGCAATCGCGTGTTCAGCAACAGGAGACAAATCTCCAAACACATTTGCTTCATAGGACTGAAAGAGGCCGCTGATGATGTAGAGTATAATGGTACAAATTCATGCCAGGTAATGTTGTAGCTCTTTCTGCTTTCTGAACTGCCACACGTTTCACCTGTCAACTTTATTGCTCAGGTAATAATACTGATGCAAATAAAATCAGTGATGAAGAGGAAGAGAAAGAGAGGACACCAAAGAAAGCTTGCGCGATGCGGACAGATAAGCTGTTCAGTGCAAAGGACCCTGAATCAGCAAGCGGCAACAAAAACCCTATTATTAGTGTGGTCCTTACCAGTCACGAGGCCATGCCTGGTGAGATGTACATGTGATGTCAAGTGCTTTAATAGTTGAGGGAAGCATTTCAACTAACTGTAAGTTTTGCTTTATTGCAGGTGCCTCTAAGATAGTTCCTATTAAAGCAGCTCCAGCTGAACCATCCACCCAGACTGTTGCAGACGCAGGTTCCCAGGAGGCAGCAATGAAAAGGGGATACCAGGAATATGCCATTCAGCAAGCTGCTTATGAAGCACCCCTCAAATCAAACAGGTTTGTATTTCATGGTTTTTCTACATTTAAAATGTTAATTTTAGATTTACAAATCTAGTGCAATTGTCAAAGCACCAAAGGACAGAGTATTAATATAGTAATTATACTGCCATTGCATTACTTTAGAAGCAATACAACTTTAGAGGGAAAAAAAAGAGAAAAATTATATAGAAGTAATTTGGAAATATCAGGAAATTAGGAAAAAGTCATGGAAATTTCTATAGTAGTATTAGTGTATTTACGAAATCGGCTAGGAATATCTATCTATCTATCTATCTATCTATATCTATCTAAAAAATCATAGAAATTTCTATAGTAAATGTAGATTATGTAATTATGTTATTGCTAGACATGACTTATTTTATTTATATTATTTCTATGGATTAATTAATTTACTTATTATTCATTTATTTAATCTACCTCTAACAATTTTTTTATCCCTAACCAGTAGTCATAAACAACTAAAGAAGCTATGGAAAAGTAATAAAAAATAAATAAAAATGAAATTCATTGGGTCAAAATATGTGAGACCCTGACTAAAGCAATTTGACATATACAATTTGTTGCATTTGTACTGATCTTGTGAAGTGATTTGGTACATTGATATGAACAAATCATATCTCTCGCCACAGGTTAGGACAGACGCAGCTTAAAATCTTCACATGTGAATACTGCAATAAAGTCTTCAAGTTCAAACATTCACTGCAGGCTCACTTAAGAATCCACACCAATGAGAAACCATTCAAGTGCCCGCAGTGTGACTATGCCAGCGCTATAAAGGCCAATCTTAGCGTTCACATGCGGAAACACACCGGGGAGAAATTCAGCTGTGAGCTGTGCTCATTTAATTGCCTCAGCAAAGGACACCTCAAAGTGCATGTGGAGCGAGTGCACAAGAAGATCAAGCAGCACTGCCGATTCTGCAAGAAGAAATACTCCGACGTGAAGAACCTTCTAAAACACATCCGCGAGACTCATGACATGAACGACAAGAAGGTACAGGACTCCTACAATGAGTATAGCCTCCAGACCAGGGAGGGCAAGAGACAGCTTCTGTACAACTGTCAAATATGCCACCGCAAGTTCAAGAACGAGCTCGAGCGCGACCGTCACATGATGGTTCATGGCAACAAGAGACCCTTCGGCTGCGAACTCTGCGATCACGGCTCAACCAAATTCCCAGCCTTGCAAGCCCACATCCGAAAGCATCCCTTCATCTACGTGTGTGCCATTTGCCATGAAAAATTTGTCAGCTCTGTGCGACTTAGGTCACATCTCCGAGAGTTCCACTCGGAATCGGATGAACCCTCTGCTTTTGCAGACTCCATCAATTCCAGCTTTTGCTTGCTCAAACCAGGCGATGACATTCAGAAGGACATGTTGAATCAGGATGAGCTTAAGATCACAGAAGAGCTGTCGCAGCTCAATGCCCAGGAGCTGTTAACCACAGAAATTACTTGCATGGCTCAAGAGGACCTTCAGACTCAATGCTCTGATAGTTTAGAGGTGGAGTCAGACCTTCTTGTACAGAACTCAAAGGATGAAAATCCCATTTCAGACAGTATAAATAAGACCGACACACAGACACAAGAGATGACCTGCGAAGATGCGATAAATGCCCAAAGACTTCAAGATGATCCAAATAAAATGGAGTGCAGTATGGCAGAAGATCAGAATCCTGCTGGAGGACCTGCACCGTTGACACCTGAAAAAGCACAAACGCACTCTGAGCAGTTAATATCAAAGGATACATTGCCTCAAACCGAGGAAGAGGCGATTGCGCCACAAACTAACGCAGATGAGGACTTACTCGATTCAGAGCAAGAAGAGATATCTGCTTTTAAGCAGATTGTAGAGCAGATGCAAAAACGACAGCTTAACATGGAAGTGTTTGAATGGATTCGGAAAGTGTTCGGAGACCTTGAATGCGAATACTGTGGTATGAATATCTAATATATGATACAAGAGTGCACAATCCTGTTCCTGGAGATCCTATTATCTTGCAAAGTTCAGCTCTGATCAAACAACCGAGCCAGCTAATTAAGATCTTCAGGAACCTGTTGATAATTGCAGACAGATGTGTTGTAGCAGGGTTGGAAATGAGCTCCAGAACCAGGGTTGGGCATCCTTGAGCTATTATCTATGAATATCCTGCTTTTTAAATAACATCTCCAACTCCTGTCTTTCTATAACTCTGTGTAATATTCCCTCAACAGGTAAGCTTTTCTGGTATCAGGTGCACTACAATACACATGTACGAACTCACACGAAAGAGCACCTCCATTACTGTTCCCAGTGCAATTATTCCTCCATCACTAAAAACTGCCTGAAGAGGCATGTCATCCAGAGACATTCTGACATCCTGCTGAAGTGTCCCTCTGAAGGATGCCTTTACTGTACACCTGACAAATACAAGCTTCAGGCTCATCTCAAAACCCATTCGGACATAGTGAGTGTCTGTAGTCTGCTTATTCTTGAGATATAGGGGAAATTGCTTCTTCATCAGATCTTATTTCTTTCTCATCTTTAGGTCAAAAGAAGTTTTACATGCTCAGTATGTCAAGAGTCTGTTCCTGAGGACAAAGTTAGAGCTCATATTAAAAGCAACCATCCAGGTAAGGACAACTAAAACACTCTCAAATGTCCCACAAGATCCCTAAACTAATGAATGTGTTGTTGCTGTACAGATGTGTCGCTGAACCACATCTCGGAAACGTTGGGAATACGTGTACATGTGAAAGGAGTGATTGGGAAACGAGCCTCCAAATGCCCGTACTGTGATTGCTTCTTCACAAGGAACGGGGCAGATCTTCAGCAGCACATATGGGCTCATGAAGGTGGGTTTTATGTCTTTTTTTTTGGTTACGCTTTATTTCGATAGTCCATTTTAGACATTCTACTAACTATAAGTAACTTTGTAACTACATGTCAACTAATTCTCATTAATTTGCATCTACATGTCTACTAACTCTCAGAGTAGACTGTTAGGGTAGGTTTAGGGTTAGTAGAATGTTGACAAAGAAAGTGTTAGAAGATATTAAGCAGACAGTCTACTAATACTCTACTAACTGCTAGTTGACATGTAGTTGCAAAGTTACTTACTGTTAATAGAATATCTAAAGTGGACTATCGAAATAAAGTGTTACCTTTTTTTTACCTTGTTGTCAAACGTATGCACTTAAATGAACCGCCTCAGTGTACTGATTTTGTTCTGTTCATGTCTCCAGGACTGAAACCGTACAAATGTTCACAATGTGATTATGCCTCAAGAAGTAAAAGCAACCTCAAAGCTCACATGAACAGACACAGTACTGAGAAAACTCATCTTTGTGACCTCTGTGGAAAAAAGTTAAAGTCTAAATGCACGCTGAAAAGTCATAAGCTCATGCACACAGCTGACGGTGAGTCTCTTTCTTTGTGTTTAATACTGCATGCAGTGTTATTTGGACTCGTGTACCTAAGTCGACAAGGCTTGCATAATCTGACGTATTTCCGAGTGGACTTGGACAGGGATATCAAACTCTGCAGTCTGGGGACTGCAAGGGGATGCTAGAGGGGCCATGGAAAATGTACAAACTATATTTTGACAGGAACAAATAAAAAAACTAAATATGAATATAATACTGTGTAAAATACTACCATTCAAAAGTTTAGGGTCGTTCATTTTTGGATAACCAAGGTTGCATTTTTGCATCACAATTACAATAAAATAATAATAATATGAAATATTATTACAATTAAAAATAACTTTTCTATTATAATACATTTTAAAATGTAATTTATTCCTGTGATGGCAAAGCTGAGAATCCAGTCTTCAGTGTCACATGATCCTTCAGAAATCACTCTAATATGCTGATGCTCAAGAAACATTTTTTTCAGGATTATTTGATGAATAGAAAGTTCAAAAGAACAGCACTTATTTGATTTGATATTTATTTATTTATTTATTTTTTGTATCATATAAATGTCTTCTGATCACTTTTGGTCACATCGTTGCTGAATAAAAGTATTAATTTCTTTTAAAAAGTACTACTGATCCTAAACATTACGTATGTTATTGTATGTGTATGTATACATTATTTATTTCTAAATATTCATCTCTTCTTCTCTGCAACGCACGCATGTTCAACAGTAGTTTATTTGTATTTTACCTGTTCAGGGAGTTTTTCTGCACCACTGTTGCATTTTAGAAATATATTTATTATAAACATTTATACAAATAATTTTGAATTGAAAATGTTTCTCTTAACACCCTGATGAAGGCAAGTTAGCCGCAAGGCGTCGGTGCACATGTGTGTTGTTTTTAATGTTAAAGCCATGTGATTAAAGGCTTTTTACTTTTTCACAATATTTTCGAGTGCCTTGGATTGATGAGTTTTTTGATGACATCAAAGAATCCCGCATCCAAAGAGCACCGATTCATGGAGTTCACACCCCTGCAGCATTTTTTGCATATTTTTAGATGTATGTCTCTCTTATAATCTAGTATTCTGTAGAAAATATATAGCCTACTATTAATCTAACAAGTAAACATTTTCCATATAGCATGTGAATAAATAATTTGTTTGAATAATGTGCATTGATGAATTATGCACAAACTGTATTAAAGTAAGTATGATTTCAATTTTGATTTCATGCTGATATTGATAATATATCAGAGGCTTTGATTATTTCTGTGGCATTTTTCTTAATACACAGCCAATCAAATCAAATGTCATTTTGTTGTAGGAAAACAGTTCAGATGTACTGAGTGTGACTTCACTGCTGCACTGAGACCGCATCTCCTTCGTCACATGGAGCAACATGCCTCTTTCAAAGTAACACCATAAAAACATATTTTTGTTTTATGTTGTCATGTGTCCTACAGCCACCACCAAAGCACAATGTTTTGCCTTTCACAGCCTTTCCGTTGTGCGCACTGCCACTACTCATGCAACATTTCAGGTTCCCTGAAAAGACACTATAATAAGAAACATCCTAACGTTCAGTACATCAATGCTGGAACAGGGGCGTCCACTTCCGAAACTGTGACAGAGCAAGGCAAGTCCTTCCTCACCAGAACGAAACCAGCCTTAACCGTACAACATATACGTTGTTGCTTTTTGTTAGACATGCAGTGTTGCCTCAAACTGCATCAGTAATTGAGAAGTGTGTGTGTGTGTGTTATCAGGTGGAGTCAAATGTCCTGTGTGCAATTACGTTTATGGCACTAAATGGGAAATGAACAGACACCTAAAGAGCAAACATGGTCTCAAAGTGGTGGAGATTGGCAGTCTGGGTCTGAATCAGTGGGAGGTGAGTCTCCATTATAATTACATGTTACATTTAGTAAAGACAAGTCATATTTATTTATATAATGCATGAACAACAATAGAAGTTGACCCAAAGTGCTGTACAATAACATTTAGTGATAAATAATATATTAATAGTAAACCTATAATTCACCCAAACATAAATTATCGGTCATCATTTACCCTCATGTCACTACAAACCCATAAGTCTTTGGTTAAATGAAGATATTTTTTATAAAATCTGAGAGGGTTTCTGTCTCTCCGTTGATAGTCCAGTTAATGAAAACTCCAAAGATGGAGTCTCCAAAGATCCAAAAAGGTCATAGATTAAATTAAATCTGTTCGTCATATAAAATGATTGTATCTCTTCACAAGACTTGGATTAAACGGTTTGATTTATATAGATTCATTTTATGATGGCTTCATTACCTTTTTGGTTTCCCTGGACGTTAAATGAAGGGACAGAAACTCAGGTGTCATTAAAAATATCGTAATTTGTGTTTCAAAGATGAACTGAAGTCTTATGGGTGTGGAACAACATGAGGATGAGTAATTAACTGATAGAATTTTCATTTTTTTGTGAATAACAATTTATAATAATCATTAATAAAATACTTTAGAGTTTAGCAAAAAAAGGCTTATTACTCCAGCCTTTTCTTTTCTTGGACTCGGTGACATTCATAATATATTTTCTTTCTGATAAAGCAGTGCATGATTGTTAAATTGCCTTAATCGATGACATATTGTCAGCTACTACACTTGCTTATGATCTTATTGGTGTGTTCATTCAGGTAGTGGAGTCAGTGGAGGAGCCGGCCATGCAGTACCTTCACATAGCTGAGACTGAGGATCCGCAAGGAACAGAGACTGCTGTATCAGCTCTGCAGGACCTGCGCTTCAACACACAAAATGGTCAGAAACAGTTGCTTCATTTCTTGAACAGTTGTTGCATTTCTGTAAAGTTCATATCTAAACTCATCGTGGTCATTGTGTTCAGGTGTTGTGTCTGCCGCAGCGGGAGACAGACTAGACCCGGCGTCTGTCAACATCCTGCAGCAGATCATTGAACTGGGCTCAGAGAATCATGATGCCGCTGTGGCTTCTGTGGTTGCCATGGCTCCTAGTACAGTTACTGTTGTAGAGCAGGTACGGTTTATATGCATATTTGTGTACCTCTCTGCTTCTGGAGAGCTGCCCATACTTATCTACTGCAATTTTATTGAGTTCACAATATATCATCTACACTCTCTGCTATATGATTATTGCTTATGAATTGTTAGGTTTATTGTCTTGCTGTGTTTGGTATCACTTTTATGGACACTTTAGTAACTCCCTATAATCAATTGATAGTCATGTGTTATTCAATATTAATAGTGTCTATATATGAATTTAAAAGGGTCATAACATATACAAGAAAGGTTTAAAAAAGGTTTAATTTTTTATGAAATTATTCTGCAAGAATGTTGACCAAAAATGACACTAAAGACATTTATTATATAACAAAACATTTCTATTTCAAATAAATGCTGTTCTTTTGAACTTTCTATTCATCAAAGTATCCTGGGAAAAAATTAATGGTTTTGTTATAAATATTAAACACAACTGTTTTCAACATTGATAATACTAAGAAATGTTTCTTGAGCACCAAATCAGCATACTAAAATGATTTCTGAAGAATCATGTGACACTGACGACTGGAGTAATGGCTGATGAAAATTCAGATTTATTGTGACAGGAATAAATTACATTTAAAAATATATTCAGATTTTGAACATTAGTGTACATTTTTTCCCGTAAGGTTTACTTACAATATTAACCAAAACATCCATTATTTCATTTTCTCTTATCTTATATATATATATAATGTGTGTGTGTGTGTGTACATATATATATATATATATATTTTTTTTTTTTCTGAAATATGCCACATAAACTGTTCAATTCAGGCTGAAATGTTCAGAGACTATGTTAATAATAAACTTCAGCTGCTTGTTTTTAATGCTGGGTTTAATTAATCACCCAGTTTGAATTATTGATGTGTGAGACATGTATTTATGTATTTAATCTGACGTCAGGCATTTGTGTCATTTTTGTGGTTACATTTTCAATAAATGTGCTTTTGGATCTCTGAAAGTTACAGCATGTCTTGCAGCATGAAGAACTCCTTGAATCCTTTAATAATAAGAATGTTCTGTCCCATCATCCTAGGTGGAGGAGGAAGAGCCGCAGGCCAACCATGCCATGATGATCCAGGGTGCACTGCAGCAGGCCACAGTGGGCCTGGGAGAAGAGCACCATCTTGTGGTTTCTTCAGACGATATGGAGGGCATCAAAACTGTTACAGTGTATACACAGGGAGAAGACGCATCCCAGTTCATAATCTACGTTCAGGAGGCTGTGCAAACTGAGGAGACCACCACAGTATAGAGCATAGTAAGATGGGGTTTTAAAACTACTAGCTAGCTAATTCAAATGCTGTTCTAGTGTTTTGTTTTATTTTGTTCTTTTGCTATAGTTACTCCAGTCAGGTCTTGAACAGACTACTGCAGCCATACCTATAGGTTATAGGGACCTATCTTGCACAACTGTAAATAATCAGAAATGAACAGTAGCAGTGAATAGTCATAGCCTTGTGCTACAGAAAAAATAAATATTTCCTGACTAGGGGAATCAGCAGAAGCAATAAGGTTTTAAGTCTTTGCAAAAATCTTGAGACCTATCATAGTAGATAAAGCCAGTTGCACATAACACAGAATCTATTTTAGAAATTAGAAAAACAATTTCATGTACTATCATTGCCTGCAGGCATAAGTATGTATGTACAGTTACTGTGTGACTCTGGCCTTCTCCACATTTTTTATATAAAACTCCCATACATTGTATGGCTATCATAATAGTAAACAGAGGTATTTAATGGGTGGTGTTGTGTATTATTGATACACTTTTTTTTGCCAGTAAATGAAAGTCACTTTAAAGCGGTCTACGAACACAGCATCAACTACACTACCGTTTAGAAGTTCTAACAATAGGTGAGATTTTTGAAAGATGTCTCTAATGCTCAGCAAGGCTGCGTTTATTTGATCAAAAACATAATTTAAAATAATTTTATTTCAATATATTTTAAAATGTAATTTATTCCTCTGATGACAAAGCTGAATTTTCAGCAGCCATTAGTCTTCAGTGTCAAATGATCCTTCAGAAGTCATTCTAATATTCTGAAACATTTATAATTATTATTATTTATTGCATTTATTTGAAATGAGTTTTGTAACATAAATGACTGTTGATCATTTTAACGCATCCTTGCTGAATAAACATTTTAATTTACTTCATAAAAGAATCTTACTGACCCCAAACTTTTAAATGGTACTGTATATGACTAACTTTATTCAGCTGAACACAAAAGGTATTTTGAAGAATGTTGGGAATCAAACAACATTGGAGGCCATTTACTTCATCTCCCAAGCTTGAAGATTTTTATTAAACAATTCTATACAACATAATATTGCAAGTGACCAAAAGATGTGATTTCAGTGTCTCCTGTTGTCCTCTTCCATCAACTCTGTGACCTGGCTATCCACCAGGCTGTCCTCATCACCATCCTGCTCCTCTTTGTCCTCTTTTTGAAGGCTTCTGGACAACAGAAAATCCTTAGGAGTGATATCATTATCCTTCATCCATTTGGACTTTTTCTTCTTTTTCTCTATGAGTTTCTGCTTCCTAATATCTGCTAGCATATCCAGCTGCTCTTGTGTTAGTCCTCCAGCAGCAGGACTCTGTGTGAGAGAGTCTCTCGCCCCCTTCTCTCGTTTATAGGCTTTGATCTGTTTGTGCAGAGCATCGTGATCGACACCAAACAAAACGGGTCTTTTGTTGTCTTCAGATTGCATCAGCTGCAGTTTGGCCCTTTGGAAGATTGAACAAATTAGAAATTCATTTTAAAAAAATTGATTTCGTTTTATTAGAACTAAATTCTTCTTACCTGACATCATTGGTGGATAAATGATTTACGTTATCTTCATCGGGTCCAAAATCTGCTTTCTTGAGAAGGTTTTCAATCTAATTAGAAAAAGAAAAATCTCATATATATATGTATGTATATATGTATATATATGTATATATGTATATGTATATATGTATATGTATAATATATGTATATATGTATATGTATATATGTATATGTATAATATATGTATATATGTATAATATATGTATATATGTATATGTATATGTATAATATATGTATATATGTATATGTGTATATATGTATATGTGTATATATATGTATATATATATGAAGAGTTCAAATGCAAAAGCCTCTAAGTGCCGTCTGAAATTTTCTTCTAAAATTAGCATTTTTATCAGGCTCCTATATTTATTTTCGGCTATTTCACTTTAATTGCATAAAAACGGACCTATACATTGCCATTAGAGTAAAATCACTGAACCTAAACATAGCAGCCTGATAGCAATGCTCATTTTAGAAGAAAATTTCAGATGGCATTTAGTCTTTTGCATCTGAACTCTTCATATATATAAGATATTCCATCTTTTATCACTGTAAACTCAGTGTAAAGTCTATCGTTGTTACCTCAGTGACAGCAGCATATTGTTTATCTCTGATGAGAACCACAGGTGGAACATTGCCAAGGATTTGGTGAGAGATCAGAAGGTGCCTGAAAAATAAAATAAGCCAAATGATGAAATTCTTTTTTCAACTTCTTAAAGAGGTCATATGATGTTGCTAAAATGAAATATTATTTGGTGTATTTGGTGTAATGAAATGTGTTTATGCGGTTTAAGGTTAAAAAAACACATTATTTTCCACATACTGAACATTATTGTTTCTTCTCTATGCCCCGCCTTTCTGAAACGCGTCGATTTTTACAAAGCTCATCGGTCTGAAAAGCGAGGTGTGCTGTGATTGGCCAGCAAAATATACTATGAAAAATACATACCGGATACGAGGAGCACATTTATTTAAAGCCTGCTGAATATGGCGGTCTTGCTCAGCTGACAGACTCGTCTTCCAGTATATTCGACAAGCAGAGAAATCTGGTGATAGTGAAACCTTGCGTGGACAAGAAGACAGTTTAGGGAAGTACTGTAAACGACATTTGTGAAGAAAAATGTCCATCTAAAAATCTTAATTTTCTCACCCTCATGTCATTCCAAAACTGTACTTTTTTTTCTCTTTACAATGGACATATTAAAAATATATCTTCTTTTGTATTCAGCAGAGTAAAAGGAAGTCATACAGGTTTGGAATGGCATGAGTGATGACAGAATGTTTATTTTTGGGTATACTATCCTTTTAATTATTGAATATATGTGGTTAATTATGGTAAGGAATTTCGAAAGAAGAGCATATCCTACTTTGGAAATCTGCACATTGTAGGCACAGATCTCTGAGTTGACCTCATAGGAGCTCAGTAAGTCTACCACTGCTTTGTAGATGATGATGTTGAGAGTCCTCACACGAACACTGTCCTCTTTATTTCGCTTTGATGGTTTCAGAAAGCCAGGCTGACTAAGTGCTGAGGCCTGGACGGGCAAAATGTGTAAAAGACCAGTAAATCATTTTTAATGCGTAGTCATACTGCTTACAGAGTCGACACGGCTTAGTTGTTCACATTTGCGCTATTTTAAAAGAGTATACAGTACATAAAATAAAGAAGTGAATTTTATATACATACAGAAGAATTCTTACCTGCAGAGGCGATTCATACCATTGTTTTTTCCTGTAAAGAATGATAATATCATGCAACTTTATAGTCAAAACTGGCGTAACTTAACCAATTATACAAAACCGAGACTCACTTCTTTTTGGCCAGCATCTTCATCAGTTTATTGCCTCCAGACAGACAGGCTGAGCTATGAATACTATTTTCTTTCAGCATACCAGTCCAGGACAAGCGCTGTGTCTCCGGTCGTGCTGTCATTTTATAGATCATGCTTGTTAATGCAGTCGTATATCGACGAAATGAGCATTCTTTAGAGCAAACAACTCTTTTGACAGCCAGCATGATCACCAGCTTGGTATATCCTTGCACTCACGCTAGTTTTAGCATCACCGACTACATTTGTCTGAGCCTGAGGGCGAAGGGTGAAGTAATTGAACCCAGATCGAGCCGATCGACGACACGACAGATTAGCCTTGCCCAAATACCCACACTTGCGGTCTTTGCACTTGACCACTTGACTACTTATATGACGTATTTCCTGTATTTGGCCCAAGTGTTCAAGTGAGGATGAAGACCACAAGTGTGTGTCGAACTTTTCATTACCTGATGGGACACACTTGTAGTGTTGTAAAAATGCAAGTGTTTACATAGCTTTATTTTAATTTTAATTTTAAATACTTTGCATTTTAAAATAAACTTCTAAATGTCTGTTCAGTAGTCCCTATAACATGACAATTTTAATTTGTGGTGCTTCTAATTAAGTGATAAAAAGCAGTTGCAAATGTTGTACAAAATAAATATCACCACTACTCATCTTTGCACCAATAAAACGTAAAAACACTGTTTTTCTACCAAATTATATGTAATATCTAATTATTATATATTAATATTTAACTTGCATTGGAAAGGTTTCCATGACCTCTCGCGAGATCTCGGCAAAAAGTCTCACAATTTATTTCCAGAACATGATGTTTTCAGATTTAAGCTTTCTAATGACCTTATTTGTCTCGTGAATAGACTGGACTGTAGCATACTTTATATTTGATGCTAAACTGCATACATCAAACATAATGTCTGGTCTGGTTTGTTTTGCAACCCACAGTATTTGTCCTATTTTTGACCTAAGCTGCTCTTTTTCAGTCTCATTAAGAGAGGCATCCCTCTGCACTGCACGTGCTACTTGCAGTCGAATAGGCTGTAGGTTTTCAATGTAACTATGCTGATGTACATGAACTACACCATTAATAGTAACAAAATCCATTCCCACATAGCAGAAATTTTCATGTTCCTCACGTCCAACATGTAATACAGACTTTAGTGTAGGTATCACATCTGTTGAGAAGTTTTGTGAGCCTGCCCAAAGAAAATCATCAACATGACATGCGAGTACTCCAGTAACCTTACACTGTTCATCCAACCAATAGAATACTGCTGGATCTACTTTAGACATTTTATTTCTATTCCCTTCTCTAGTCATAAACAATCTCCTAGCACCAACTATTTGCCCTCCGTTTACATTGTTTTTAAGCTCTTCCATAGACACATCTAATGGCACTCCAGTTATAACTCCACTTACCCACTGCCTCTGTCCTCCAATTTTACTACTCACCACTTCCTTCTTACATATTACTTTGATTCCAATCACTTTCCTCTTTTGTTCTTCATTGTTACAAACTATCATCAAATCTCCGTTTTGTAACACTCTTGCATGCTTAATCTCTCCAACTACTTTCCTCAAATCTTTAGTTAATGCAATTGGACTTACCTTTTGTATTCCACCTTCTGCTTTAAATTTCAAAATTACCTTTAACTCATCCAGATTTCCATTCCTTATCTCCTGTTCATTTCCACTCTCCTCCGAACTTCTTACCTCTCTTTCCTGATGTTTTTTCTTTCTTTTCTTTGTACCCACATCCTCCTTCCTATCTCTACTACCCTCTTCTTCTTCTGTCCTTCCTGACTCCATTTGGTCATCCTCCTTATCTGTTTCATCGATACTATCTAGTGTCTCTGGTCCATTTCCATTACGACGACTTCTATATTTTGTCATTATTGATTTCGCTGCGTTGCCGCCATCACTCGTGCCCTCTTGGGAACACTTTTCCAACTCCAGCAGGCAGTTCAGTGACAGGCCCGCTCGCGCACCTGTCCTCTTCCCTACTCTTTCTCAGGTGCTTTGGTTCTGGAAGTTTTTTATTTCTTTTCATTTTCTCCATAGGGATTATTTTAAGTCTTGAGATGCAAGCCATGAACTAAAACAATTAGCTAAGAGCTGAATCCCAAAATTAAAGACATTTATGTAAAGCAAATATTTATATTTGAAAATCAGAAAAAAAAAGAAAAGAAAATGTAAAATAAGACAAAGGTACAAGATTTGGGTGAGGAGGTAAAGATTTCTTTGGGTAATATAGTTTTTCAACAGGAATTCCATTGTTGATTAAATCATATTTTTACTGATATAAAAATGTCAATATAAAAAATATGAATAATGCAGGCTGATAGATTCAACAAAAGCATATACCATCGATTTACAACCTCATAGCTCACAGTAGATCTGTCCTGAAAGGTTTCGAAGTGGTCTCAAAATCAGTTACCCTATGGAGAATATGAATGGGATTTTTACTTCTGTAACTTGGCTATTTAACTCTATTTAATGTTTTCACATTTTGTTCCACACCATAAATTATAAATTGTCAAACCTAAACCACACATTTTGAAGCATGTTTTTAGTAATGTAGTCTGTTTACAAACTACAATAGTTGTCTGATTTCTCAAACATTTATATTCACGTTCTTGTGATAACTGTAGTCCTCATAGCAACTTGTTAACAACTTAATAAAAAAATTAATAAAATAACAGTCATAAATTTAAAAAGCAGTTTCAGTTATGACCATGTATAATAAATGTAATGAAAAATTATGAATTAAACATAAAATACCAATAAGTTGATAACATAAAGAATATCCTGCTTGTTCAGTCACAACCAATTTATTTAGTAAACCACACATCTGTAATATTTAGTCACGTTTATTCCAAGAGGCAAATACAACTGCAAACTTTAAATAGGACATGGAGGCACTTGTCTTTTTTCACGTCTGAAATAATTACAGTGTATTATATCAAGGCGAAAAAGAAGAAAAAAAAAGAGCATGAAAACACCATAAAGTGTCCCTTTCGGTGATACAGCTATGAAACGCTGCCTAATTTTGCTAGTTAGTAGTAATAGTTAACAAAGTCTTAATTTTCTGTACAGTTCTAATATAAAATGTTAGACGCATAACTATTTCACTACAGACGTCCCCAAATGTATATTACAAATGAAAAAAAAAACAGACAAACAAACAAAAGTATGACCCTAATATATCTAATATAAGATGGAAAGGTCAGTGTTTTTTTCTTGCAATAAAGATATGTAAACAAAAAAAAAACGTTTTAACGTCATCATATGAACTATATACAACAATACAAAAATGTAGAGTGTAGAGTCTTTTCAGCATTGCTGTAGGTTCCCCTTTTTTCCAAATGTACTAATGCCAAGAGGCAAGCCATCTTATAAATGTGTAAATCAAGTCATTTTAAATAAACATTTTGCAATGGTTTACATCCTAGTGTGAACATGCTTCATACAAGTATAATTCATCTAACACACCGTTTAGCCATTTTTACAGAGGCCGTACCTCTGGGATGAAGAGGCCATGTTCCATTTCATTTACATCCTCTTGTTTAACAGTTACCCCTGGGATGTAGAGGTCATGTCCCATTTCACTCACATCCTCTTGTTTAACTGTGACTGGTACCCCTGGAATGAAGAGGTCATGTTTCATTTCGTTCATGTCCTCTTTTTTAACAGTTACCTGTGGAACGAGGCTGCCATCTTTCACCTCGTCCAAGACCTTTTTTTTAACAGGCTTCACCTCTGGAATGAAGAGGTTGTGCTTCACCCTGTTCACTTCAATCATTTTAAACCCAAGACGTACACAAACCCTCTTCTTCTGAATTGCTTTCAAGCACTTGGTGAGCTTGCTGTTGAAGTGAGCCTTTACGTCAGCCTTGTTTATCCACAAACGGGAAGCTAGCAGTTCGATTTCAGTCTTCGTTACGTATGGCTTTCTGTGGAAGTACAGCGAAAGGAAGTCTTTTCGGTCCTCGAATGATGTCTTCTCCATTCCCGTTGGTTCCAAGACGAGCTTAGCTGGAATTTCAGGGACTTCTACCTTTGGAACTTTAGAGTTCCTTCTCCTGTTCTTCGGAGTGATTACTTCTCTCTTTGGCTTGGCAATTTCAAGGCCGCCCTGACAGGCCACGTCTGAAGAGCTGGCCATCTGAGGAGAATTACATAAATCAGCATCATCACGTTCCGTTGTATCTGGATTCAGTTGCCTCTCTGCTTCCTTGACGGCTTTGGGAGCACAACGGCACCGTTGCACATGAATGGAGATTGTCTTCGGTGTCGATTTTTCGGTATACACCCCAAAACAATATATGCATTTGTATGCAGGCGTTTTTAGTATTGCATGAATGGTGGGAACGATGTGGTGTTTCGTTTGAAGATGGCTCTCGTAGTCCTCAGAGTTCTGGAGCTTTACTTGGCAAAATGGGCAGGCGGTAGGTGTCGTCTTCAACGTTGTTGCATATTCTGCCTTGTCTGGATACATCTTTATGTACAGCTTATCTTGAGAGCTGGTAACTAGTGCAAGGTTGAGCTCTCGGTTGTCAAGAAGATCTTTGGGCACATCTGTGTTCAGATTAAAAGTGTTGAACATGAGGTTCCCCTCGTCGTCACAGTCGAGACTAAACTGTTCTTTAATGAAATGCCGATTTTCCTTGATTTTCAAACTGTGCTCTTTATTGGTGTGCTCCATGATCTGCTTGAAAGAGTAGAACATCTGAGGGCAGAACAGACACTTCAAGCCATGCAACAAATGCTGGAAAATCCCCTGCTCTGTCAGCAAAATCTTGCACCTCAGGCACTTGACTGTGTGATCGTCATGTTTCTTCAAAAACGGCGCAAGCACGGCCAACTCATTTGGCACAGAATTTCTGTTTATCGCCCTCTGAACTGTAGGCATGAGACCCGTGGGCACCACCGCTGAATTTGTAGGTTGGCTGATCTGATTTTGCGCCCGTACCACTTGAGCGGGACCGCCGTGGACGGGAACCGTGACTTGAACGGGCGCTAGAGTGTAGGTTGGGACACCGTTGACTTTGTTGCCTGTGGGAATAAGACGCACTGACTGCGAGGCTATGAGGGGAGCTCTGGGAACCGACTGGTTCAGCTGAAGACCTTGAGTAACAAGAATTGGCGACCTTACACCCATTTCGCCCGGGAGGTTGACCTGGACGCCAGGCGGAAGAAGAACCTGCTGTGCTTGATGGGTCTGCGGTAGCCTGGGCATGGCCATAGTGATAGGTACCGTCTTAGGTGCGCTTTGCGGCATGTTTGGCATCATCATATTGATCGGCTTCACTACTGGAGAGGTAGGCAGGACTTGCGGCATCCCGCTGGGGGACTGCGGATGCTGTGCGTTCTGAAGAGCGGCAACAGTCGTGCCCGACAGTAAAGCTTGTGTTTGTGGGGACAAAAACATCTGCCCTACACCAGGAGAGCAAAACAAAGCAGCCGTGCTGCTTGGGCCGGCCAGAAGAACTGTACCGTTTCCATTTGTTTGTTGCATCTGCTGTGGCACATAGTTCGGCCTTGCGAGCAACGTGACCTGTTGCATCGCTTTTGGCGCAAGGTTCAGCAGATTCTGTAGTCCAGCCATTTGGTTTGTGCAGTCTTTTTCGATTATACAAGGCATTATTTGCCAGTGCAGGTCTTTGTGCTTCTCTGAACTTAAAATGTGATAAAGTAAATGTTCAATGGTCTCTGCAGGCAGTTTGCACACTTTGCAGTGATATTTCACTGATGCGCCGTCAGTCTTTTGCTTACTGTCCGAGCCGAGCCCAAAGTAGCGATCCAGCATCACAGCATAGTGGTTGACCAAGACGTGTTTCTTCATCACATATAGTAAAGAATCATGATAGCCACAGGTTGCGCACGTGTATCGGTCATCAGCAGCATCAGCGGAAACTGTAACTGACACGGTTTTCGGTGTGTGGGCCAAAGTGTGGCTAGGGTTGCTGGGAAGAGGTATACGATGGGTTTTTGATGGGAGCATGTGGAAAAACTGAATATGTTGCTCTGTGACCTTTGGAGAGCTGACAAATGGGCAGTAGGGGCACATTAACAAACAGGCCACATTCAGATCTTTCCAGTGACTGCGATGGATGTGACTTCTGAATGTGGGTACTGACCGGCTGGAGTACCAACACAGACTGCAGCACAGAGCTTGGCTCCGGTATGGATACTGAGGAACAAAAGTAATATCATGATTAATATGACATAAAATAACATTTACAAATAGCGCGTACAGTGTAAAAATTAATTCCACTCAAAATTAAACGTTTAATCACCAACTTTCTTTGATAAAATCAAATGTTTTAACATATTTTACAGAGCAACATATGTTGTATATATAATCACCTTTTTTTTCTTTTTGCCAACATGACCATCAGTGAAATCATCCCATTCTGTGTTGTCAAAACTTGCATCACCAGCATCAAAACATTTGTATGTCTGTTGGAAATAAAGAAAATTTAATTAGCAGATATAACGGCATTCGTGTAAATTATCATTGATTTTGTGAAAGAAGACACTAAAAAAAAATATATAGTTTTATTAGGCTATATAAGACACATTTATTATTAAAATTACATTTGTATATTGACATATTGATAATCAATATATTGTGCATTCCTATATTTTTCATTAAGGACCAATTAACATAACATAACTCAATCTTCTGGTGAAATGACAGACTTCTTTCTGGTGACATGCTGGACTTCTCCAATCATATGGTCTGCTTAAACTCCACCTCTTCCTTATAATCGACTGCAAGCTCACTTTAGATCTGCTTCCATCAAATTAACAGCCGATAATTAGAACTAAATCCCCGCTCTAGATTTTTTTCCCATAATCTGTTTCTGATGTACTTCACAATATGGAAAAAAAGAGCTGTCTCCGTTACTTCGCAACTTTAATAGTAATTTCTGAAAAAATGAGATTGTCATTTTTTGCCAATGTCTACTTTTTGTCTTTTTCTTATGCTGTGACAGTTTGAAAAGTTCTTTGAAATAACTGAAGTAATTTGGTAAAGTCATACTAAACTGTACTGTAGTGAGAACTTGGGACGACCTCATACTGTATAGTGCAGTTATCGAATAATCATCGCCGTCTGAAACGTTAAAACGTCTGTCAGCCAATCAGAATCGAGCATTAAAGGGGTCATATGATGCGATTTCAATTTTTCCTTTCTCTTCGGAGTGTTACAAGCTCTTGGTGCATAAAGAAAATCTGTAAAGTTGCAAAGACTAAAGTCTCAAATCCAAAGAGATATTCTTTATAAAAGTTAAGAGTCAACCACGCCTACCTAAAACGGCTCGTTCTAACACGTGAAGCGGAGTCCAGCCCGGGGTCGCCACATGTGGTTGCCGCAAGCCCGCACGCCGCTCCTTCGTCAAATCCGCCGGCCACGCCGTTCTCAAGCCCGCCGGGCTCCGCTCACTCTAGCCGCCGTGTGTGATGCAATGGAGGACCGTTTCCTGAACCTGCAGAGTAGCCTACAATGCGTCTCTGCTCAAAGACCGTTTCTTTAAAGTGAGTTTTGGGCAGTGTAGAGTAGCGCTTGTTGTTTGTCATTTCTCCGATCACAAATGCAGACATGGTTT